CCCCCACCTGACACGCTACCTGAGCCTCCCAGGCAGGCCTCAGGCCCCCTCTACCTGCCTCCATCACCACACCAGACCCGGCCTGCTCCCAGACTCTCCCAGCCTCTCCGGCACTAGCCGCTCCAAGGCCAAGGCTGTCTGTGCGAACCTACTCCATGGTCGGGCCCAGGGTGGTGGGGAGGGGACAGCTAGGAAGAGGACACTCAGGCTGTACAGGCCTCGGCCCTACAGATGCTACCTGCAGCACGGTCTGTACTTATGTGTAAGAGGGATGCAGTGTCCTTCCCTCGAATGGCCCAAAAGCTGGCTCCAGAGCCAGAGAGAACCAGACCCCGGTGGTCACTTGTGGTCTGGGCAGGTCACTTCCCCCCAGGAGCCGGCCTGCCCTTCCCTGTAGGAAAGGCACGGTCATAGCTCCAAGTGCACGGCAGGCTCGGGAACGGGGATTCCAGTCACTGGGATGACTGGACAATCTTTAAAAAATGCCACATCACTGACAGAAGCAAATGACATTAGGAATAAAAAAGGTAGCTGCAACACTACACAACCCCTCTGCCCTTTTTTTTTTTTTAAGAAAACAAAGACTTTTATTATATACACAGAAAAGACTAAGAAAAATATGCCCCAAACATTGGTAATTTTGGTATTTTTTGCTCCATTTTTTTCTAAGTTTCTTACAACCAACATAATACTTGTGAAACAAGGGGAAACAGAGGAGGCACGCCTGCCCCCAGAGAGCTTATAGCCCACAGAGGCCCCATGTTCTCATGCCTGACTCCTCAGAGGCAGGAACGGGGCTTATCAACCTTGCTTACCATGACAGGGCCCAACACTCACAGGACAAAACCCATGAAGAGCCCCTGCATGCCTTCGGTAATGGGCGTCCGAGGGGAGGCTCCAAACCCCTGGACCATCCGACCATCCCATCCGACCATCCCATCCGCAGCAGGCAGCAGGCAGGAAGTGAGGGCACTACTTCACTGGAGGGCGGGGGGGGCGGTCAGGTGGGTCCCAGGCCTGGAAGAGTGGGCTCATCTCAGAGGCACAAATGAGAGGCCCCGAAAGGCCCTGGGATAGTCCAGGGCCCCTGCCCGGTGATCTCCACCCCCGCAGCCCCGCAGGAAGACGACAGCGCAGGAAGAGGGAAGCGGGACCCTCTGCTGCCCCTAGCGCGGGCTTCCTGTCTGCCGGGGACGTGAGTAATGTCCGCTCCCCACCCCCTCGCATCCCTTCTGGAGGCCAGGCCTCACATTTTCCGTTCAGGAAGGGGCAGAGTAAGAGGTCGGTGGAGCACATAGGGGGGGAAATCAAGGAGTGGGCCCTTGCCTGGCTCCACGGCTCAGCCGGCCCTGGCCCAGCCCTGCACATGAAGGTCGGGACACCTGCGGGCTCACCTTGCCCGTGTGTGTGCGCTCGTGCACCTTCTGATTCATTCACTCATTTGATGGACATTTCCCCCCACCTGCTCTGTGCCAGGCACTGGGGTCCTCGCTTTCAGGGAGCTGATGCTATCTGGGGGCGAGGTGGACGTCACACAGACCATCCCACTGACCGGGCATAATTACAGGCTGACATACTATTTGGTCCCAAGTCAATGCTAGACTACAGCGTCTCTGGACAAAGTCTCAACTGTTGGCTTCTCCCAGGCATCTTCTATCTACCCCTAGAAGGCAGTCCCTGGGCCAAGTGTTTTTCTAGGCACCAATGATGAGCACAGAGCTCCATTTAAGACTCAAAGCCCAAAGCCTCAGCTAGGGCTTAGCAGTGGGTCTGCAAAAGATCTGGCCATGCGTGGCAAGGGGCAGCAGCAGGAACAGCCTGGATCACCCTGGCCCCAAGCAGCCAGGGTTCCGAGTGTGTGAGGGGAGGCTCCTCTGGCTCCCAGGCGCCCCTGCCTATCTTCTGGGGGAGCTTCACACACAGCCAACACCTGCCAAGGCAGAAAGAGGAGGGCAGCCTTGGCACCACCTCTGGAGTCTGGCTGGATCACCCAAACTCTTTTCCTCATCTCCCATGTCTTCTGAAGTCTACAGCCCCAGTGAGGAAGCATGGTGTCCCCCAGTCTGACGTCTGCTGCTGTGATTCCAGGGAGCCAGGAAGAGCACCCAGAAGAGAAATCTGTGAGGTGAATGCTTGCAGGCAGTGGTGGACTTGGTGGGGGCGGGGGATGGGAAGGACACCTCCACTCCTGGTAAACCTCAGAGACAAGCTCCCAGGGGTAAAAAGCTAATTCACTTCTGGTCTCAGCCTTGGGACCTGTCCTGACCACCAGGCTTCATCTGCATTTGTTACAATTGGAAAAGTGGGGGCAGGGGGAGGAAGGTGGGAAGAAGGAGGATGGAGAAGTAGGAAGGCTCCAACACATCCACCAACAGGTGTGAATCTGTGCAAAATACCTGGCTTCCTGAGATGCTTCTGGGCAGCATCACTGGCCAGCAGGGGTGGGATGCTCCCTGGCACAGCCCTGGGAGTCCTCACACTTTCTGGCTAAAGGATGCTCACACTGGGGAGGTCCTCAGGAACAAAGAACCCAACTTGTCCCCAACAAAGGGTGGACCTACATCCCCTGTGGATGGTGCGCTCGGGGGTGGGTCTTGATAAATCTTTGTTTCTTTATTCATTCGAGTAACAAATATTCAGCAGGCCCCTGTAACGTGCCAAGCACACAGCTGGAGTCACTGGGGACAGAGCAGAGAGCAGGATTGACATGGTCTGTGCCTTGCAGAACTCACAATGGGGGCTTTAGACCTCATCTTTCCAATCTGCCAGTTCCATGGAGGACTAATGGAACCAGAGACCACCCAGCAGGCCACCATGGAGGGCTGTGACTAGATTCGGGTCGGAGTTACAGGGTCAACCAGAGACTCTGCTTGGCCTGTCCCCACCGTAGCCCTTCGTTACCAATGGGGGACATGAGAAGACGCTGCAGTCCCCTCACTGGTGGGAGCGGGATCTCAGCCTGTGTCTGCCCTGTGAGCACCTTCAGACAGGGGAGCTGGCGACATGCCGCCGTGGGGGCTGGAGGGCTGGGTGAGGACTATGGGCCAGGTCTGGACCCGGCCAAAATCCTATGGGAACCTGCTGCTCTGGGGAAACACAGTAGTCACTGACAGATCTAGAACCGGAAGGGTCAGACAGCAGGGCCTGCTCAAGACCTGTGACCCCCTGCCCTGGGTCTAGGTTTGCCCCTGGCCAGCACACCAGCCCGCAGCCTCCAGACACAGCATCTGATTAAATAATTAAATTGACAGTATCACGGTCAACACCATCCTCCCTGTCTCCAACTCTGGCTGCCCGCCCTCATGAACACCCTGGTAGTGTCAGCAGGCTAGCCTGCCTCAGCCCCAGGACGCACAACCCGGGGGGCCTGGGGCGGCACGAGGGGCAGGAGGACAGACATGATCACCCCCAAGAGTAGGCTCCCCTAGGAAGCCTCCAGGGGACCGGGCTGCAGGATGTACTAACCTTACCAGTCTCTGCTTCTCTCCACTTTATCTTCATGATCAACCAAGCCCCAGGCAGCAGGGCAACCGATGCTGAGGAAGCCGTGACCCCCACTGAAACAACCCCCTACCCTCCACAAAGCACTGAATCTCCTTAGGAAATGTCTCCAACAGAGATCAAACTCCCAAAGGGTGGTTTTAAGCAACAATAACATAAGACTTTGTCAGGAATAAATTGAGGAAATACGGTCTCCATTTAGCCCTAACTACTCAGGTTTTTTTTTTTTTTTTTACCACTCAGGTTTTTAAAAAAATGTTCTGGATCCTTCTTGGGAAGGTATAATCCTACGCCCTTGGCTGAGCTTCCCTGGCTTGGCCCTTGGTGTGGCCTTTGGGTGTGGCCTTCGATCAGCTTGGATGCGGAGGGAGGTCAGCTGCTGGGCACGTCCCAGCCCCAGAGCCCCTGGCAGCATGTGACTGCCCCTGCCCCATGGGAATCCCGGGAGGTGCTACTGGCCCGGGAAGCTCTGCTGGGGAGGCTCACAGCCCGAGGGGGTCGTGCTGACCTCACAAGGTGTTAGGGCACAAAAGTCTTCTTTCCCGGCAGCCTTGTACCCTGGTCCTGGCAAAACTACCCTCTGGGCACCCCAGCCCCTGGCCCAGCATCTCCAGCTGCCTACAGGCTGGGTCTCCTCCCAGACAAAGCCGGATTCAGGCCTGTGAGGGCAGTCGGGGGAGGCAGGCTCGGGTTCTGCCATGGAGACGAACTTTGACCCAAACTGCAAGCTCCTACCCCTTATTTACTCTGCAAGGCTAACCCGTTTCACAGAGTTAACATTACACCCCTTTTTAACCAGGCACTTCCCCGCATTCCAGGCCCCAACCTTTGACCCCTCCTAATTGCAGGCTCTACACCCCAGATCTCTGGGCCCCTACTCCAAGTCATCACCTCCCCGGGAAGCCAGACTGAGCCCCCCAGAGCCAGTGACCCTGGGGCCGCCCCACACCCGCAACCACACGTGTACCGGACATAGGCCCCGGCCCCCTGAGGGCTGCACACAGGCTACCCAGTGGACCCCCTGGGGTCCGACTTCTGACTCTCCCATCCACAGAAGAAAGCATCTGTTGTGAGGGAGGCCAGAGGAGGCTGCCTGGCTGGTCCAGGAGGGCAGTGGGGGGCCAGGGTACTTCTCATCCTAAGAGGCTAGGGACACACAGGGGACAAGTGCAATGCCTGCTGTTTCACAGGTGACAGGCAGGGAGCCTCATGTGGAGCTACAGAAGCCCGACTCTTGCTTCCAGCGTCGGGCAGCTGGATTGTTCCGGGCAGCTGGATTGTTCCGGGTCAGGCACACTGGCTAACCTTCCCTGACCTGAACTATGGTAACTTCGCAAGCATCAGGGCAAATGGACAGACATGACACCCCATCAGGCTGCCAGCCCCCGAGAGCTCTATCCATTTACCTTTAGGAGGATGTCTTCTCCCTGGAGCCAGGGGCCAGGGCCACCCCTAGAGTCCATGGTCCCTCCCCCCGCCGGCCACCACAGGACACTCACCGTCCTCTTGGCTGTGGAGGTTCTGAGGGCTCCGCATCCTCTCGTCTTGGCTGGGACTCAGGCTGGAGGCCAGGTGTGGGTCAGCTGACATCCATGTGGAGTCGTTCATATCAAAATCTTCACTGCTCACAGAAGTCTCATCCTGGTCGGAGACAAAGAAGGAGGGGGTTCAGCAGGGACAGGCTCTCTGTGGCCCCAAAGCGGCATCGCTGGGGAGCCCCAGGGCCCGTGCGCCTCAGGTCGTGCCTGGAGGCCACAGGGAGCCCCCACAACTTGCAGCAGGGGCTAGGTTGCTCTCCTTGTGCCCCATGGAAGTGGCTCGGGCTCTGGTTCCTGTCGGAAGCCAGGGCTGAGGGCCGGCGTGGTCTGTAATTGAAGACAATTATGAGGTCTTGCATCCTGTCAGGGCGGATAGCAGGGCCTGGCTCTGACCCTTGTGACCAAGGTTGAGACAAGTGCCGTAAACAAGGGCCCCACTCCCCACTCCCGGCCCACAGCCCTGGGAAGGGAGCTCACTGAGCATGGGGGCCCTCTCTGTTGGTCAGAAGTGGGGAGCGAGACCTAGCAGCGCTGCTGAGGCTGGCCTGACGGCCCCCACAAAGCCTGGCCCCCACAAAGCCTGCCGCCCCCAACTCAGGCTCCCGTGGAGCATGCATGGAATTCCTTTCTCCCACTCCCCCAGCCCAGAGGACATTTCTGTCTTCCTCCTTCCTAACCTTTGCTGTGCTTCAAAGATATGCTCTTGGGCAGCTTCCAGGGCTGAAAAGGCCAGCCCCAGAAGTGCAGAGAAGGAAGGGGGTGGGGCAGGCGAGGAGGGTTCGAATCAGACCGCGAAGGGGGTTTGGCTCAAGGGCCTGGGGGGCCCGCCAGGGCCTTCCAAACAGCCGGAGGGCCTGCCGGAGAGGACCATGCCTGCCTCCTCTCCCCTGGCTGGCTTCAGGGAGCCCCTAGCCAGTCATCTGGGAACCCCCAGGGCGGGGCCCCTTCAATCCAGCCCGGAGGGGGCTGCGGGAAGGGACCCCACCTCCTACTTGGCCCGGCCTCTTTCAGGAGCTGCAAGCAACTGTGTTTGGGAGCTGGCTGTAAAATGCAAGAAAGCTGACCCAGCAGCTCCCACACCCCGGGGCTGGCTTTGCCCCCTCCCCTCTCCCCTCTAGCAAGATACAATGGCATCTGTGGGCTCCCAGTAAGGACCTCTGGCGGAACCCCCCCCAACTCCCTCCCTCCAAAAAGCCTCCCCTCCAGGGCCCCCTCACAGACGACTCTTTTATACTGAGCAAACACACTTTGGTTCGAAGAACTTTCTTCGGAGGCTGTCCCTGAGGCAGACACATCTGTTCTCCAAGTGCTAGGGAACCAGTGTGGATTCTCCTCCACCCCTCCCCCACCACGCTGGGCTGGCAGGGAGTTTCCTGGAATTTACAGCTTCTGTGCAGCGAGTGTGTACCCTTTGCAGCTGGATCTGGACCATGGAGCTGGGCCACCACGCCAGCTCTGCCCAGCTCCGGGGTCCCCAGGAGGCTGACCCCGAGCCTCAAGGGTCAGAGACCAGGTGTCCTCTTGTGCCCTCTCCCCCTCCCCCCTCCCCTCCCACCCTCATGCTCACACTCTGCCTCCCTCCCACAGGTTGCCCTGCTCCTTATACACAGGCACATCCACCCAGTATCCCTGGGGCGCAAACACACTCACTCACACTCACTCGGACTATGTTCTCATACCCGGAGGAACACACATGTTCAAAAGTCTCCCTCTGTACAAAGGGACAACAAAACTCTCCCCTGTGCTTCCAGGATGGGACCTAAGAGTGGGAGGGGAGGTGGGGAGGAGAGGGGACCCTTGGAAGCGACAGACCATCCAGGCTCCAGGAGCCAGGAATGGGGGGCACCCTTGCTCACGCCCCTTGCTCTTTCCTGGCTGCATAGGACACACTGTGCTCTGGGTCTGACCTGAGGCAGGGAGGCCCTCTCCTGGCTCCTGGGTGTTGTTGAAACACTTGGGATTTAACAGTGAGTCTATTAGCATCTGGAAGCACCACCTACTCAGCGCGCTTCCTGCATCCATTCAACAGCTTGTATTTACTAAACACCTACTATGTGCCAAGCACCTTTCTTAGGTGTTGGTAAATTCTGCAGTGGGTGAGACAGAGTCCCGGCCCTCCTGGCATTCACTGTCCCGCCGGGGAGGAGATAGAAAATCAGCAGAAAAACACAGACCGACCAGGTGAGGAGGGCTCCAGGGCAGAACACAGTGGAGTAAGCAGGAGAGCCGGGCCTGCAGGGCTGCGTCTGTCCGGGGGCCAGGGAGGGCCTCACCGTTAGGAAACACCTGAGCGGAAGCCTGGAATAAGTGGAGGAGGTGGCCATGGGGGTGGGGGGGCTACTCGGGGAGGCTTCTGGGCATCAGCATATGCCAATGGGTCTGAGGAGCAGCCGAGGCCACTGTGGCCAGAGAGGTAGGCCAGGGGCAGCAGAGCCACATGAGAGTGTCCCCTGTCGAGGCCCACACAACTCTGGACGGGGCGGTCTGCAGCCCGGAGAAAGGTTGGTGGACTGCCCCACTGGACACACGGGGTTCTCACCGAGGAGCAAGGAGAAGATGGCACCGCTGGGTGCAGCACTCAAGGTGCCCACCCTCTGCCCTCACTCCACCAAGCTGCAAACACTAACGACCGCCAAAGTCCATTAGGTGCCAAAAGCTCCTCTCGGCTCCTCTCATTTCATCTTCCCCACAGGCCCACCAGCTCGGGCGAGTTACCAGCCCCACTTCATGGAAGAGAAACTGAGGCTCTGAGGGGTTGAGGTGTTTGTCCAAGGTCACGAGCTTATAATCGGCGCCAGAGGCGTAGGATCCTCAGGGCCCAGACACACCGTCCTGCCTGCCTGCCTGCCGAGGCTCAGCTCGGGCTACCCCTCACCGGGAATAGCCACCCTACCGTGGCACTCCACAACCCGAGTTCCAACCGTCTCGCCCACCGGCTCCAGCTCTACCAGCTGCCGGCCTCTATCAGGAGCCCCTGCAGTTAGGTACAAACCCCTCAGCTGGGCCATGTCAATGAACTGGGGGACTGCACCCCATCTTTCCCTGGAAAATTGCAAGTCCTTCCGATGGTGGGGAAGAGGCCGGAGGTTTCCTGGACCCCCCATGAGGCCCGTGAGACACCGCAAGCTGGCTTGAGTGCCTGGCAGGACACCGGTGTTTAATGAGGATGTGGCCCAAGTCTGACAATTAAGCACTAGGTCCCACTGCACACAGTTCTTGAATAGCGACCAATGAGACCTGGATCCTGGCTGGCAGGCTGGTGGCAGCGAACCGCCCTGCAATGTCTCCCTGCTGCGGCTGCCAGCCACCCCACACAGAGCCTAGGGTTTCTCTGACTCAGATCACTTAACTGTCCACCAAAATGACCCCCTCCGCCCTTCCCTGCCCCGACAAGTCTAATTAGGAAGAGGCGAGCTACATTTCACATTGACTTTGCAATCACCCAATAATGAAGAACATCCAGTGCCCGCACACAGGGGGCTTTGGGGCGACAGTTTCAGTAGATTTCCTCACAATGGCCCCCCCCCCAAAAAAAAAAGGGCAGGCCCCCATGTCAGGCCTATCTCAGGATCTGGTACCTGCCCCTCGGAGACCTGCCCCAACTGCCCAAGGGCACCACAGCTAGTAGCAGAGCTGGGCTCTGAACCCTGGCAGTCTGCCCCCAGAGCCCACATCACAGTGCCACCACATCACGGAGCTGGCTCACGGCACCTCCTCCCTTCAACTGGGAGAACCAGACTCTGGAACGACAGAGCGTCTCAGGATGAGACCCAGAGGAAACTGGCGGGACACAAGCTATATTTACACACACTCCCACATGCGCTCTCTGCAATGAGGCGACACACATTTACTGAGCATCTACTATGTGCTCGTATTGCTCTAGGGATGCAGATGACAAGCTCTTCTCTCCTAGGACCTTGTTATCTAGGGAGACACACTGGCGAAAAATTCTGACCTGCCTCTAAGAGCCAAGAGACAGGGGCTGTGGACCCCGCTGCACGTTTCCCGTGAATGCCCCCAGGCTCTGCTCCACGGATCCTAGCTTGGAAGGCGGTGCTTCTGTTTAACATTTTGACACTGCTGCTACAGCCTTTTTTTTTTTTTTTTTTTAAATGAGGAATCCAGTGCCATAAACCTGACTTAAAAACAGCAAATGAGTAAGTCCTGGTCAAACTGACACGGCTGCCACAACTCTACTTTCAGGGTTGTCTGGGGGGAGAGTAGCCTTCCCAGATGCCCCTGCGACCCGGTGCGACAGCACAGCCCCCATCGGCAGAGGACAGACTGAAACTTCACCCACTTGCTCAGAGCCAGGGCTCCAGGAGCGGGCTAATTACACAGACAATTAGCAGCATGCACAGCTCCCAGCCCATCAGCGACTGTGCAGAGCTGGGAACAAGCTCAAGTCCGGAGGGAGTGGCAGGAGGCAGGAGGCGTGGGTCTGCGAGTGGCAGGGTCTGTGCACTGACCTAGGGTGCTCTCCCTGGCTCCCAGGGCTCACGAGTCAGGCACCTCTGGCTTTTCCCTTCTGGGCTTGCAAGGGAATCTGTTCTACTAATTTCTCTCTTTCTGTAAACACACTTCAACGGATTTTGCATTAGAAAACCAAAGAGTATATACAAAGAGTACTTCTGGGCCCTCTCTCCCCAGGCCCCACATGAGTGACCAGACCGTTGCCCCTCTTACCTCTGCCCTCAGACACCTGGAAGCCTACAGACTTGCCACCTGTTGATGAAAGTCCATCACTGGGCACCAAAGGGCCTGAGCCACTGTGGGTCTCCAGGGGACAGTGACAACTGCCTTCCCCAAGAGAGAACTCAAGAATGTGTGGGGAGCGGGTGGGCAAGCACCTAGCTGACCTCTGGGACACACCCCAGGCTGGGAGCCCTGACTCTGGACAGAAGGAGAGGAACCGACTAAACCCTCCCTGCTCTTATCTTCAGTCCAAAATTCATGGGCAGGTTCAGTTTCTCTCCACCCAGGTTCCGTGGCCCTTCCGCCTCTGCAGGCAAACGAGCACCAACCACTGCCCAGCCTAGGAGGAGGAGAAAATGGGAGAGCAGAGGGGAAATGGTGGAAACGCGCCTGTATCCATGGCGGGTA